AAAAAGTGGAAAACGTTCTGCTCAAAAGATCCTACTGAATGTCAGCAAAATTAAATCTATTGTCCGCATTTTTTTTTTATTTCAAAGAAACTTTGAGGTTTAAAAAAAAAGCCATTATTATTGTTATTATGTTTTTGGATTGGATTTTATTCTAAGAGGTTCAGGAAGTCAATGAATATATATATACTATTATATATATACTATTATATGTATACTGTTAGAGAGGAGGTCTTGCTATGTTGTCCAGGCTAGTTTTGAACTCCTGGGCTCAAGCAGCCCTCCCGCCTCAGCCTCCCAAAATGCTGGAATTGCCATGCCCAGCCACCAATGAAGAATTTTAAGCAGAGAAGTAGCATAGACCGATTGATATATTTTAGAAAGATAATGGTGGCTTGGGAGGGAGAGGAATGTGAGAGATTCAGGATCCATTGTAGAGGTAAAGCCCAGGAGCGTGTCTGGGCTAGTGCTTGGGATTTTAGGGGAAAGAAAGAAATTGAGGCTGTTGCCCACGTTTGTGGCTTGGTGACTGCTGGTACCATTTACTGTCTTGGTAAAACTGAGGAAGGAACAGATTTAAGGAGGCTAGAGGACTCCATTTGCAACATGTGAAGTGTGATGTGCTCATGGAACATCCGCATGAAGATGTCAGTCAGGCCACTGATTGGAGAGTCTGTAGCCCAGGATGGAGACCAGGGATCAGTCTTAACCTTACTTCCAGACATTTCATGGTGCCCACCTGGCTGATTACATCACATGGGCATTGGCCACTTCTCCTCTCTCCAGACTTTCCAGAACCCACATTGAAGCTTAACACTCTGCTTCGAAGAGCCCATGTTGTTGCTGCTGCTGCTGTTGTTGTTATTATTATTATTTGCTTTGTATATTCTTTTGAAGAATTAAATGTTACAGACACAAATTAAGCTTTCTTTGTGTTGATCTCTCTTTTCTCCAAAGGAAGTAATATAGCAGGTGTAGGTGCTTTTATGTTTTTACTACGTTTTAATATAGCCTTAGAACATTGCTTTATGAGGAATGCTTTCTGTTTTAAGCATGTACATAAAGATCTTGTACTGTGTGAGTCCTTTTAAGGCTTTTTGCTCCTTCCTGTCATTGAGTCCACCCACATTGGCAGATGCAGCCCCAGGTCGCTCACATTGACACCGCATACAATTCGTTATGTGAACATACAACAGATTATTGCCATTTCTCAATTAGTGAACATTTAGATTCTTTCCAGTCATCCTGGAATTTTAAGAAATGCTATCATGATCATATTTGCTGTAATGTATAATTTTCAAAAGGTAACATAACTCTCAGACAAATGCAAAAGGAAAACGTGTTAGACGTTTACTTAACTCGTTATTAATGAAGAAGCCAGTAAGATATTATAGCGGGTTCAAAGGAGAAGCTGAAGAATGGACACAACTGTAGGCAATCGAGAATGCTGAAGTCAATTTCCTAATAAATACAAAACTGGTTAATATTTACAAAGCTTCCTTAGGTGACTTGTTAGGCTGTTAATTTGTGATCCTTCCATTTTCTTCATGTGCATTTGTAGAGATATGAATTCCCCTCTTATTACAGCTTTCATGGCATCCCAGAGATTTTGGTAAGATGTTTCTTCATTTTCATTTGTTTCCAGGTATCTTTTAATCTCTGTTTTGATTTCATCATTGACCCAGGAGTTGTTTAGCATCATGCTGTTTAGTGTCCATGACTTTGTGGGTTTGGGGGAACCTTGTTTGTGTTGATGTTTATTTTTATTCCACTGTGGTCCAAGAAGGTGCATGACAAAATTTCGATCTTTTGAAATTTGTTTATGCTTGATTTATAGCCAAGTATGTGGTCGATCTTAGAGTACGTTCCATGCGGTGATGAGTAGAATGTATATTCTGTGGTCGTTGGGTGGAGTGTTCTGTAAGTATCAATTAAGTCCATTTGGTCAAGAGTCACATTGAGGTTCCGGATCTTGTGGCTGATTTTTTTTTCTTGATGATCTGTCTAGGGTTGTGAGTGAAGTATTAAAGTCCCCAGCTATGATAGTGTTAGAGTCAGTATCTTTTTTGAGTTTACCTAGAAGCTGTGGTGAAAAGGGAACACTTCTGCACTGTTGGTGGGAGTGTAAACTAGTGCAGCCTCTGTGGAAATCAGTGTGGCGATTCCTAAAAGCTCTAAAAATCGACCTTCCATATGACCCCACAATCCCCCTACTGGGAATATACCCTGAAGAACTCAAATCACTCTATAAAAAAGATACCTGCACACATATGTTTATCGCAGCATTGTTCACAATAGCAAAATTATGGAACCAACCATGCTGTCCATCAAAAGAGGACTGGACTTTAAAAATGCGGTACATATACACGAAGGAATATTATGCAGCCATAAAAAAGAATAAAATCATGAATTTTGCAGCAACCTGAATGAATTGGAGTTTATAATACTGAGTGATCTCTCACAGAAACAAACATCTGAGTATCACTTTTTCTCACTCATAAGTGGACCTTGAACAATTATTGTAATACTATAAGAAAAGGATCGACAGTGGCGGGAAACTATGGGGGGGCAGGGAGGGGAAGGGAGGTGGGATTAATGGTAGTCAATATCTGTCTGGGAATGGGGGGGGCATACCTCATCAACAAAGGCACCTGCACAAATGCATATTTGTATACCTAACCCTTAATTGTACCCCACAATTTTAAAATAAAAAATATGTATTAAAAAAATTCACAAAGCCATAGTATCTACTGTTTGGAACCATCTTCTCTATAGGGTAGGGTCAATTGTATCTCTACCAGACAAAAGTCATTTGTATTTTATGGACACGGATGAGTTCCATTCCACCTCACACCTGTTAGGATGGCTTCCATGAGACAGAGAGAGAGAGAGAGAGAGAGAGAGAGAGAGATAGAGAGAGAGAGGGAGAGAGAAACAGTGGTGTGGATGTGTAGAAATTGGAACTGGAGCCCTTGTGCACTGCTGGTGGGGATATAAATTGGTATAGCCACCGTGGAAAACAGTATAGTAGCGTCTCAAAAATTAAAAATAGAATTACCATGTGATACAGCAATTCCAATTCTACACCCATGTTCCTAGCAGCCTTATTCATACTACCCAAAAGGTCAAAGCAACCGGAGGGGAAGAAAATTCTGATTCATTCTGCACCATGGATAAATCTTGAGGACTTTGTGCTAAGTGAAATAAGCCAATCACAAAAAGATAAATATTGTATGACTCCACTGATATGAGGTACCTAGAACAGTCAAATTTATAGAAATAGGAAGTAGAAGAGTGTTTTCCAGGGGCTGGGGGGAGAGCAGAATGGAGAATTTGTATTTAATAAGTACAAGTGTCAGTTTTACAAGATAAAAATAGTTCTGTGGACGGATGGTGGTGCTGGTAACACAATAATGTAAATGTATTTAATGCCACTGAACTGTACTTAAAAATGGTTAAGATGGTAAGTATTATGTATACTTTACCACAATCTAAATTTTATAATGATAAAAAATCAGCTGCACTAATACCATGTTTCTACAGCTTACAAAGTTGTAAAACAGCCTCGTTAGAGATGAAGGCACACCCTCCTGCGGAATCAGATAACCCCAGAGGCGCACTGGACAGAGCCCAGCAGTCTGTTGAAAAGATACTCATTCATCCATTTCAAAGTATTTTGCAGTTGTTAATGCAGTATATATGTTCCAGACAGAAGGACTGCGTTTTAGAGATCTATTGTACAGCACAGTGATTATAATTAATAATAATGTATAGTACCCTTGAAAATTGCTGAGAGTTGATTTTAAATGTTCTCATCACAAAAATGATATGTGAGAGGATGGGTAAGCTTGATCTAATCATTCCACAGTGTATACATACCTCAAAAACATAACATCGTATACTATAATATATACAATTTGTCATGTGTCAATTTAAAAAATAAAATACTACTCAAAACTGAGGGGGATGCAACAATTATAAATCTTTAACATGCAGGGGAAGAGATTACTAAAGATAAAATGAGATAGTAAAGAATTAGAAAACAGAAGCGGAAGTGAAAATTTTAAGATTTGATTCTTTTGAGGAGAAAAGAAAAAAACCCACATGAAATTGAAGGCCCATTTGCTTGCCTAACGAAGTGAGAGGGAAATGCAGAGCTCTGATGTTAGAAATTAGAAAGGGGAAATAATCACAGATGCAGAGGAAATAAAAATACTTATAAGACTATGCAAAAGGGTATGTTTTGCCAAACAGGGTGTGGACATATATTCTATTTAGGTCAAGATATGTGTTTAGTATGAGAAATGCGTATATGTAAAATCAGTAGCCTTGTATATTCCAAAAATAGCCAGTTAGAAAATACCATGGGGAATAGAGTTAATGAGAAAATTACTGACCTATAGAAAGAAAGGTGCTAAACTTTATAAAAGAATTTATTTACTCAGTGTATTTAACAAACACTTACAGGATATAGAACTCACTACACGCCAAATACATTTGATCTTTACCAAGCTTGGAAGGTAGGTTTGATTATATCCACATTTTACAGATGAAGAAACTGAGTCACTGAGGCTTTAAGTAACTTGGCCCAAGTCACCCAGCTGGTAAGTGGCAGGACCAGGATTCAAACACAGTTGGCCTCCAGCATCTGCACTCTGTGCTATTATGCTGTCGTGAATCAATACAGAGATGTGCCATGTTTCAGGGGGAAGGCCCAATGTCATAGAATGATCCATTCGCAGCTGGGCTGACTCTCTGGCCAGGGTTGAAATGCTAGCAGAATGTCCAGGGTGGATGTCATCAGTGCGGCAAGCATTCCCCCCAAGTGCGCCAAATCATGCTGGGTCAGAGTAGAAAGGAGTTCCACCTTGAGATTCACCTATCAGAGAAGGAGCTGGGTCCCCCCACTTCTCCTCTGCATGCTCCTCCTCTGAGCCCCCTAATACACATGTGCTGTGTGGCAGGACAGATCCTAACCCAGACGCCCTGTCTTCCTCTCTCAGATCCAGGAGATGGTCCACTCGGAGGTAGCTGCGTATGACTCGGGCCGGCCCGGGCCCCTGTTGGGCCGTCCAGCGATGCTGGCCAGCCACATGAGCGCCCTCAGCCAGTCCCAGCTCATCTCTCAGATGGGCATCCGGAGCGGCATCGCCCACAGCTCCCCGTCGCCCCCGGGCAGCAAGTCAGCCACCCCCTCGCCCTCCAGTTCAACTCAGGAGGAGGAGTCAGAAGCCCATTTCAAGGTACAAGGGAGGAGGGGCGGAGCCTGAAGGTGCCCACCGTCCTCGGGGGATGGGTCCCGGGGGGAAACGGGCATCACTTTCCTCTAGTAAACCCTAGAAAAGTGGCTGTGTCTTTTGCTGGAAGCCAGGGAAAACGAATATCAGCTGATGAATCACTTACCTGGTCAGTGGGGATAGCACCTCTGCCTCGGGACATCAAGCTTTGGCTGCTGAGTATGCTGAGTGTCCTTGACCAGCTCTGTCCTCTCTGTGCTCCCATGCCCTGGTGCATACAGAAGAGACAATTCCAACACATACCAAGGGGACATCCAAGGAGAGGCTGTGGAAACACGGCAGAGTCTCTTTCCTGAATGACCAGTGGGTCATTTCAGCAGTATGAAAGGCTTTAGCAAGGCCATGAGGACCACATCTTAGGGCCAGTGTAGGAGAAAATATTTCAACAAAAATGTGTGGTCCGGCACAGGGCACCTCTGGGCCCTGGGAATTCAACACTGATCTTGGGGATGGGGCACTAGAATGACCACCCCCACTGGGGATGTGTCTCCCCACAAAGAGTCCAGAGGGTTTCGGCTCTTGAAGAACACGTCACGAATGGGAGCCCTCCACCTGTCCAGGCTACGGTTCCTCCTTGGCACTGCCCCCGAACGCACCTCCCTACTGGAGAGCATCTTGTTTTACTGTGGAAGAAAAGAGGCCCAGAGAGGCCAGGGATGAAAGGGTCTGCCCAGAACCTCCCAGTGAGCTTGTGGCAGAGTCAAGTCTCGACCCTGGGCCTCCTGCCTCCAACAGTCCAGTGCTCTTTCTTCCGTGTGGTGGCCCAGAAGAAGCCAGGGGCAGTAACCATGGCCCCTGGGCCATGAGACTCTGACCTTCTGGACTGGGTGTGGAGACTGGTTATTTTTAATCCTGGTCCGGCTTCATCCTCAGGATAACTTGACCTCTATCCTAGGTGAGGCGGGAACAAACTCTTTTATTTAACAAACTCTTCTAAAATACTCCATGTGGGCTGTACACTGTTCTGAGCACTTAACAAGTGTTTGTCCATGTAATCCTCATAGCAATTCTATGTAGCAGGTACCATTATTTTATGTTTGGAAGATGGGGAAATTGAGGCACAGAGAGGTCACATAACTTACCCAGTGTCACACAGCTAGTAAGTGACAGAATTAGGATTCAGACCCAGGTGGTTGCAGATGTGGTGCGGTGTATGTGTCCTCACTCCCTGCACTGCCACGTCTGTTCAGGTCCTCACCGATGACATGATGCCTCTTCATCTCTTACCTTAGTCAGGCCTCACAAGGTGCTGACAGGCTTGGAGAGGCTGGCTGCAGAGTCTCAGGAACAGAGCCGCTGTTGCCACAGACCTGGCCCTTTTCCATCCCCCAGTCACGGAGGGCTGATTGTGTCTACAGGCCCATGGTTCCCTCATCAGTTCATGGTGTCACCTTCACCTTCTTATTAGCACATAGAGCCATAGTCTTCGCTACAGAATCCAGGACTTTTGGCCAAGGTCCCTGGTCCCTGAGGGACCTGAGGGTCCTAGCAGAGACCCACTGAGATCTGGGGTGGACATCCCAACCCCCATCCCATCCTGGAAACCTAAATGTGGTCCTGGAGTCTGTCCAGGGTAAGCCAGTGGCTTCAGGGCTGACCCAGTGATGGTCACATAAGCCTCATGCCCTCCAGCCACCTCCCAGGGGTCCAGTAGACCAAGCCACCTGCCCAAAGTCGCACAGCTGAAACGGGGTGGAGGAGACCAGCCTGTGTCATCCGGGCTAATCTTTGGGGGTTGTCTGTGATCACAAAGGGAAATACATCCCAAACTCGGAAATAGACCCCCCCCCGTGATTGCCCTGTCAATGTGGTACCAAAGCATTGTCTCACAGGCTTGCTGAAGAACTGCCTGGCGCTAGGAAAATGCACCTTTGCGGCACTCATTCTTCATTATTGATTAGGGGGTTTGACTAATCTGTAAGAGTAGATGTTACCTTGGGAGAAAAATGATAGAGAAGTAAATGATCTTTGACTGATTACAAGGCAAATTAATTTTGCCCTGTAGAGATGCAAATGATTTCTGTCCAGTAGAAAAGATGAAGAGTCCCAAAGGCGACTGTTTTATTGCTCTGTGGGGCACCGACCAGTGGTACGTGTAAATTGGTGATCTAATTCCAGCATTCTTTGGGTCTCTCCCTCCGGCATTTCTCCAAATCAACTTTACAGTCATGCTGATTCTCTTTAGTGAGTTGAACAGACACCCGGGGGGGGGGGGGCGCGTGCGCGTCTGCTGTTGCCTCTCCCACCTGGTGGGTGGCCGGCCTGACGGTGTTTGGGCCCCGGACAGAGGCAGCCCCTCATCACTGCCAGTGTGTGAGCAGGTGGACAGATGTCGGGGAAAGCCCACCTCGGCCCAAGGCTGTGAGGATCCCCTGTGGCAGGAGGACCCTGGGCTTCTTTGGCTTTCTGGCTTCTTTCACTTGGGCAGATATCGGGAGACAAGAGACCCGCCGCGGACGCGGGGCGGAAGGCCAAGAACCCCAAGAAGAAGAAAAAGAAGGACCCCAACGAGCCGCAGAAACCCGTGTCTGCCTACGCACTCTTCTTCAGAGACACCCAAGCTGCCATCAAGGGGCAGAACCCCAGCGCCACCTTTGGGGACGTGTCCAAAATCGTGGCCTCCATGTGGGACGGCTTGGGAGAGGAACAGAAGCAGGTGAGCCTCCACCCCTTTCGGGGCCGCCCCAGCCTTGGTGTTCCGGCACCAAGGGCAGGCTCTGAAGGCCTGGAGCCAGGCCCAGCCTCCGGGACTAGACACCCTTGCAGAGTCTCTGCCGGGCTCAGCTTGTCCCTTTGTAAACTGGGAAACGAGGCTTCTCTCAGTGCTGCTGTTTACCGGCTGTGTTTTCTGGTGACTTGATCATTCTGGAACCCTGCTTCCCCATCCATCTTGTCCCTCCAACCCTAAAAGTCTGGGCCAGGCTTGGTGGCCCAGCCTGTAATCTCAGCACTTGGGGAGGCCAAGGCGAGCAGATTGCCTGAGCCCGTGGGTTCAAGACCAGTCTAGGCAACTTGGTGAGACCTCATCTCTACAATACATAGAAAGATTAGCCTGGGGGTGGGGGGAAGGGGGGGAATTAGCTGGGCATGATAACATACGTCTGAAGTTCCAGCTACTTGGAAGGCTGAGGGGGAAGGATCACTGGAGCCCAGGAGGTCAACACTGGGGTGGCCGTGAGTGCCACTGCACTCCAGCCTGGGCGATAGAATGAGACTCCAACTAAAAAACAAACAAACAAAAAACAGTCTGGAGCCCAGGCCAGAGCTCCCTGTCCTACTGACCGAGTGCCTGTGGCCCCTTCTAAAGGCCTCAGGGAGATAAAGAGCAGCACAAGCTTACAGGCAAATGTTGTTATCTGCTGTGTGACCTCAGGCTGACCACCTCACCTCTCTGGGCCTCGGTTTTCTTATCTGTAAGATACTGTGAGACAGGGGTACTGGCTACCTACCATTCTCTGAGCGTGTGTCTGAGCTGAGCTCTGTGCTGGGCTCTGCCTCCATTATTTTGCTGTGTCCTTATAACACCCTGTGGGGTAGCCACTGCTTTCCTATTTTGATAGAGGAGGAGGTGAAGACACCAAGAGACTAACTGACTTGCCCAAGTCACCATCATGAATTGGGGTAGAGGCAGGATTTGAACTCAAGTCACCATCATGAATTGGGGTAGAGGCAGGATTTGAACTCAGATCTGTAGAATCAGGAGGCTCAACTGGGCTGTTGGCATACAAGATATTAATCAAATAAACAGAGAAGTAAATGTAGAATGACAATTGTGATTGTGCCGGATACCAGGAAGGCACATAGTACATGGGAGTGGAAACAGGGGGAGCAGACATACTCTTGGGGATCAGGTCTCCAGGTGAGACGTGAAGATGAACTCCCTTGAGGGAGGGGAAGAGTTCCAGGCAGAGAGGCTTGGTAAGGAAGGAGGCTGACATGTACTGGGGACCAAAAGGATACCTGGGTAGCCTGAGAGGAGGCAGTGAGAGTCCCCTGGAAGAGATGGAGCTGGAGAGGAGGGAAGGGACCAGACCAAGCTGAGCTGTGCCGGCCTCGGCAGGAGCCGGTCCTCATTCTGAGAGTGGAGGAAACCTCTGAACAGTTTTACGCAAGGGAGACGCCAGCCTGGCTGCACAAGCGAGGGAGAGGCTGTGGCAGGTCTGCAAAGTCACCCAGTGGGGAGATGATGGTGGCCTGGGCCATGTGGGTGGGGTGGGGACCCAGAGTGTGTCCTCGAAGACTCCTTCTTAGATCTGGCTTTTGTTCTGGGTTGGTGGAGATGTCATTTACTGAGCTGGAGACACGGGAGAGCCGCAGCCTCGGGCCAGGTGGGTTTTTGAAAAGCCTCCTTGATCATATTCTAAAATTTTAAATCATTTTGGAATATATTAGAGTGCCAATAGTTTATTTGTGAGATGATCCCCAATCTGCTGGTAGGGTAGTGGAGAAGTGAGGAAGGGAAACGTCAGGAGCCATCAGGGGTGCCTTGTCCAAGAAGTTTCATGGGCAACAGCAGCTCCATGCCGTCGGGGAGCTTTAGGAGCCAGCGAAGAACATGCTGTGCCTTGCACTCATTCTGTCTGGGGTGCGAGGGTGCCATGTGGACATTAGCTTCTGTCAGTCATTGATTAAGAGCTGCTCAGGGGACATTAGTACTCCAGGACTTCTGGCCTGCCGTGTACCAGGCACCTATTCCCAGAGAGGGTACAGCTCTGGGTGCTAGGAAGTGGGCACGTTTGTAAGGCAGTGGTTAGGGCCAGGGGTTATGGGTAGGGCACCACCAGCTCCTGCTGTAGGAATGTTTATCATTTTCATGTATTGGTCTCACTGGCAGGTATGGGTTTATTCGGGGGGGGGTGCGGAGAAATTTCCTTTCCCTTTTATCTACAGTCTGGAGGGACAGTGACCTCAGGTCTTCTGTCCCTGCCTGCTCCTTCTACCAGATGGTCCATCTGACCCCATCCAGCACAGGCCAGGGACACCTTCTGCATTGGTTCTGTTTTTGAGTGTTCTATTAATTTTCATGGACCTTTCCGGTGTATTTTTTAAATCAAAGAACTTGGTGTATATTCGTTTCCATCCAATAATTGGTGTATCTCTCCTTTTACTCAGCACATTAACATGGCGTTTTTTTTCACATTTTTCTAACAGATTGATTTTTTAACTGGCTAAACTGTTTTCACCTAGCTAAACTAAACTATTTTTTTCATTTCTGTTCATTTAAAAATTTAAATCCTGGGTTAAAAAGATATATATTTTAAAATATATATTATATATTATGTATAATATAAATATATAAACGATTATAATATATAATTGTATATATACTTGCCCCATATATCTATATCTCTTTTATAAATTATGATGATAATTTAATCTCCCTATTTTTTCTCATCATTTTCTATATTTATATCTCTAATTTGTTTTCTTTTCCCAGTTACATTGACTAGGACTTCTAGAAAAAGATGTTAAATAATGGTGAGGATAGTGGTCTTCTTGATGCCAGGTGGGGTGTTGCTCCATGGGTTCTTTAACATCACCACAGAAAGGAATTTCAGAGTAAGTCCAAGGCATAGTTTAAGACAGAATTTGTTACAAAGAAAAAGGCATGCTCAGGGAAGAGCATGGGGCCCTTAAGAGAGGGCATGTGCTTGATTTTGAAAAGAAGTTTTATATACTTTTACAGTGATTATTAAGCAAACCATGAGCTAAGAGCAGAGGGCTGCAGGTATCTGGTCATGAGTTTTGATTACCTCCTAAAGTCACAAGGACCTTCTAAATAATGAAAATTATGGGCTAACTAGATTTGAGCTTTTTAGGAACATCATAGCTGTGTTTCGGGTAACTCCCTATGGTTTCTGTGTTTTATTGCGCTGGTAGATCCACATTCCAGCCCGCAAGGTGATCAGATCTGGTGTGCCTGGTCATTTGGGTGAAGGTCGTGTACCGATAGGAAAGATGCCTGAACACTTACCCTGTTTTAATTTGGACATGCCTGCAAGAAACATATCTATCTACATCTAAACTGCTCTGGTTAACCTGCCTCATTTTTACTTTCTTTGTATTACCTCTCATGTTTCACTATTAAGCATAAGGCTGCCTGTTAGTTGCGTTTTTTTTTAAATCACAATGAAAAATTTTATTTATATTCCTATTCTACTAATAATTAATACACTAGTAGCCAAGGGAGGTTGTATTGAGAAGATTATAGGAAACAAACAAACAAAAAAAAACTGTGCTTCTCCCCAGAAGTTCCAAACCTAGCTGATTGATGGGAAAGTCCCTTCAAATATCAATGAGCAGAGCTTAGAATTCCAGAACTTAGAAAAAAGAAGAAAGCCTTCACAGGTCTTTATACACAATGTGATCTTGGCACTAAAATATAATGATGCTAGCTGTATCAATTAGTTTTGAGTGTGTAACAAACAATTCCAGAACTCAATGGCTTCAAACAACAACCATCTGTTCAACTCACGATTCTGAGGGTATGCGAGTTGTGCTGGACTCAGCTGGATGGTTCTCCTGCTGCAATTGGCTGGACTCACCCATGTGTTTGCAATTGGCTGCAGTAAATTAGGCAACTCTGCTTCTGGGAGCTGGATGGCTGTCAGCTGCAGCAGTGGGGCCAGATTTGGTCATGTGCCTCTCATCATCCAGCAGGCTAGCTTGGGCTTGTTCACATAGCAACTCAGAGTTCTAAGAGCCGGGAGAGGGCAAGCCTCCCAATACATGAGCACTTTTATAGTCTCCACTTGCGTCACATTTGCCCTTGTCCTGTTGGCCAAAGCAAGTCACACAAAGCCGAGCCCCACGTTACTGGGAAGGGTTCTACCAAAAGGCACAGACACAAGGAGGTGTGAACAAACAGGGGCCATTCCTACAACCTAAGAACCTAACTTTAAAATGCCTAATAAAAATATTAGCAGATTGAATGTTACAAACAAGTAGTGTTCATTCTGGGATGCAAAGGTGGTTGGGCATTAAGGAATTTGCAGTGTGCTGGATCAGTTGGGGGCTTCAAGGGGCCTTGTCCTTCTGAGTCAGTTGTTCTGATGTGACCTGAAGACCCAGAGGTGAAGCACATGGCCCAGGCCACACAGCAACTTGGCTGAGGAACTGGGGCATAGCCTGGTCTCCATCATCCCTGTGCAGTATTCCTAGAAAGGGGCCAGAGGGTGACTGACCCAGCATTCTCATCCATGCATGACCCTCGAGTCCATGCCTTCCTACCCCAGACCCCTGCCCCGTGTCGCCTCTGTCACGTCCTCCCCAGTGCTGCTCATGTGTTGGGTCTTTCAGGCCTATAAGAGGAAGACTGAAGCCGCGAAGAAGGAATATCTGAAGGCTCTGGCAGCCTACAGGGCTAGCCTCGTCTCCAAGGTAAAGCTGGATTCCCTAGGCACAGCCCTGCTAAGAGCAGAGCCACTGGGGAATGAAGCAAGATCGGGGGCCCATGAGAATGGCCAGCACCACGGGCCTTGGAAAGGGTGGGTCAGACCTATGTGGTCACATCTATCGTGCACCTACAGTGTGCCAGGCGCACGCTGGGTAAGTTACATGCATCTCATTTCATTGAATTCTTCCAACAAGAACACCACACCCAGCAGGGTTGAAGCAACTTGCTTGAAATTACCCGGTTTATTAAAGTGGCTGTACTAGGATTCACACCCAGTTTTGCCAGTTTTCAAATTTGGCCTTTAGTCCTGACCGCCGGTGGGGTTCAGGACATGCCACCCCCAAAATATGGCATGTCGCCACCACGCTCTTCTGCCTCTTCTGCCTCCTCTGTTAGCCAGCAACACAGGAGGTGGTGTGTGGTGTGGATGTGCAGGCAGTGGGGGCGGGTGTTGTCCTGGAGGCTGTTGTCATGGAGGAGATGGCACCTGACTTGGGCCACAAGAGGCCAAGTAGGAGGGTGTTCAGAGTCAGGGAACATCACATGCAAAGGTACAGAGGCCGGGAGGAGCTTTAATGGAGGATGGCTTGGTGGAACAGGGCTGTCTCACCGGCCAGGCTGAGGAATGTGGATTTCCTTGGACAGAGGAGTCCTCCAGGGATAACAGCAGGGGTGGTTGGATGTTCAGATCCAAGTGTACTAAGGACCATGCGTTATCTCTGGTTAGTTCAAAGCTCTTCCCTGGGGAAAGAGAGCCTGCCAGGGGCCATGTCGGTGGGTCCACAGCCCAAGGTGTAACCCTTTTCTCCAGTGACGGGTTTCTGTCTCCTTCCAGAGCTCCCCGGACCAAGGGGAGACCAAGAGCACCCAGGCCAACCCGCCAGCCAAGATGCTCCCACCCAAGCAGCCCATGTATGCCATGCCAGGCCTGGCCTCCTTCCTGACGCCGTCGGACCTGCAGGCCTTTCGCAGCGGGGCCTCTCCCGCCAGCCTCGCCCGGACCCTGGGCTCTAAGTCGCTGCTCCCAGGCCTCAGCGCATCCTCACCACCGCCACCCTCCTTCCCACTCAGCCCCACACTGCACCAGCAGCTGCCACTGCCCCCCCACACCCAGGGCGCCCTCCTCAGTCCCCCTGTCAGTATGTCGCCAGCCCCCCAGCCCTCCGTCCTGCCCGCCCCCATGGCACTCCAGGTGCAACTGGCGATGAGCCCCTCGCCTCCAGGACCCCAGGTAAGCAGGGCAACGTAGGAATGAGCCCTTCTGTGACCTGTGTCGGAAGGTGGGAGCGGCTCTCACATTCTGGCTCTGCCACTCACCAGTGATGAAACCTCAGCCTTGGCGCCTGACCTCTCTAAGCTCAGTTCCCACATCTGTGACCACCTATGACGTGGGTCTAGTTGACCTTGCCTGAGATGTATTGGCTGCCGCGAGCAGCTGACGAGTTGCCAGGCGGATTCTTAGGCTATTGCAAGCCCTCCGTCTTGCCTCCCTGTCCACTGTAGCTCCCTGGCCCAAGGGGCTGAGGCCACGGCGCCTTCTGCTAGAGCAGCTCTCCTCAAAGCTTTCGAGGCCTGACCCCTACTGATTATTCCACAGAGATTATTGCAAGGTTCACTTACAAGGTCGTTCAGCCCAGTCACTCCATTTTGAAGATTGGGAAACTAAGGGCCAGAAAGGGAAAGGCCTAGATAACAAAGTTCTTCACCTTCCGATTCAGCTAAGACAAGTTGGATATTTTGAAAGCTTCTCTGCTGGGAAAAGGAAGAGTATGTGGCCAGAGAAGGGAGTCTATGTGACCCAGAGAAAGTGTCTCTTCTGTGTGGACACCCTTGGGCACATGGAGTCCCCTGCCCCCTCCCGGGACTGCCAGAGACCATCCACCCCTCCGTCTGTCCCTGGCTCACGTCTCTTCCTCTCCCTCCTTAGGACTTCCCGCATATCTCCGAGTTCCCCAGCAGCTCGGGGTCCCGCTCACCTGGCTCATCCAACCCCACGAGCAGCGGAGACTGGGACAGCAGCTATCCCAGCGGGGAGTGTGGCATCAACACTTGCAGGTCAGCCTCACCTGTCCTATCGTTGGTCCTGCCTCTATCCTGGTCACGCAGGGAGAGTGGGGTGGGGAGAGCCAGGGGACAAGAGAACAGCCAGGGGAATGTGAACCGGAGCAAGGCCCTGCAGTCTCTGTCAGCCGGGCTCAGGGAATGCTTAGAGTCAGGAGATGACACACAGCAGAGCCAGGCCCAGGACTCTGCTGGCCTGATGCTGAGGCCCACTTTGGAAGCTGAAGCTGATCTTTAGTTTTGCTTTTCTCCTTCATCCGGTTTTTTTCACAAGTAAGTCCATGTGACATTGACAGATGGGTCCTATGTCTCAGGCCAGGTTCCCTAGAAGCAGAGCCTGAGATGGCAGGGGCTTGGGTGCCTTTGATGACATGTTGAGGGAGGGTTTGTAGGAGAAGAGGACAAGAAGGACAGGATGGGTGGAGGAAAGAGCAAATGAGGGTGTGGCCTCAGCTGGAGACTGGCTTCTTCCTGATCCCATGGAGCATGAACGGTACTGCAGAGTGGGTCCTGCCAGAGGTCAGGGAATGACTTTTTTTTTTGACTTGGAGTCTCACTCTGTTGCCCAGGCTGAAGTGCAGTGGCACGCTCATGGCTACCGCAGCCTTGACTTGCTGGGTTTGGGTGATTCTTCTGGCTCAGCCTTCCAAGTAGCTGGAACCACAGGCACATGCCACAACACCTGACTACGTTTTTCATTTATTGTAGAGACAAGGTCTTGCCAAGTTGCCCGGGCTGGTGTCAAACCCCTGGGCTCAGGTAATTCTCTCGCTTCTGGCTCCCAAAGTGCTGGGATCATGGGGAGCCACTGCACCCCGACTGGAACTGGCTTTTTGAACCCCTGCATCCATTGGTCATTGGCTGTGGGCAGCCCCTAGGGGAGGGCTGTGCCTGGGGGAGGGTAGCCACCTGGACAGGGCAGCTCCCCTCAGCCATGGGCAGTTCTCTGGATAAGAGGGCAGCTGAAAACATAGGACAGGAGACCTGGGCGAGACACCCTCAGAGAAGGGACCACCTGTCTCGCCCAAGGAATCACACCTCCCGCCCCCCACAACCTAGTCCCCTCTGGACACCCAGACTCTGGCATCACAGCCTTCTCTCTGGTCCTCCTGCCTTGGGCCTCTGCTCCCATCCTGCACTTTCAGCCTCTCAAATTCATGCTCGCTGCCCTCCTCCAGAAAGTCTTCCTGGATCTATACCACACCAACTCCAAGGAAGAGGGAACTCTCCTTTCAGCCAGCAGGAGAGGAAAACTAGAGTGGAGGGGACACACTCGGCCCTTAACCCACCCACAGGTTCCCGTTCCCCGGCAAAAGCCGCACCTGCGGAATGCAGCGCCGAGCAGCTGTCCCTGCAACAGCTTCACGTCCAGGGAGGCACAGCACTCATGTTTGGTGACCGCCTCCCCCAACCCTAGATCAGCCTCCCAGCATGGGCTCCTCCCTCTGCCGAGCTCACCAACACCCTTGGGCACATGCCCCATGTCTGACATACCTGGGGAGAGACTCCACATGTGTGGGTAGACTCCGCTCAGCAGGAATTCCCTTCCCTGCACCCTAAGCCGGGGCAGACCCTCTGACCACAGCTCTTTCCTCTCACTGTAGTTTTCTTTTTCAAAAGTCAAAGTACTGGAGAAAGAGGAGGCGCGTAGTGGACATCACAGAATGTCCATGCTGCCTGAGGCCGTCCTTTGGCACCCAGTGTAGAGACCAGACCACAGCAGTGCCCTCTTTTAAAAACAAAAAAGTGACCAGTCACACAGTGGCGCGCGTAGTGGACATCACAGAATGTCCATGCTGCCTGAGGCCGTCCTTTGGCACCCAGTGTAGAGACCAGACCACAGCAGCGCCCTCTTTTAAAAACAAAAAAGTGACCAGTCACACAGTGGCACATGTTTGCAGTCCCAGCTATTCAAGAGACTTAGGTGGGAGAATTGCTTGAACCCAGGAGTTCAAGACCTGCCTGGGCAACATAGCGAGATCCCATCTCTCTCTCTCTCTCTCCCTCTCTCTCTCTCTCTCTCTCTCTCTCTCTCTCTCTCTCTCTCTCTCTCTAAGTGCCTATCCTTCCTTAATTCAGTTTCAAATACACAAATAAAAACCCTGTAATTAAAAACCAACATAAGAGTAATGGTCATACTGGCATGGGCTTTGATAAAGGACAGACACACTGCTGTCCTTTCCCTAGAGCTGAGGAGAGGGCAGTCCCCTGCTGGTATTCCTGAAGGGTCTTGGGTCTGCTTGGTGGACAATCTGGGAGGCCCACCATGTGTTCCCTGTTTGCCCCGGAGGGGCAGCCAAACCCAGGGTGGGGGTAGAGGGTCAGAGTGCAGGGGTCCCGGTGCTCCCCGGGCTGGGTGGGGGGACTCCCAGCAGCTCTGACAGCCCCTCCTCTCTCCCACAGCCTGCTCCCCAGAGATAAATCGCTCTACCTCACCTAAGCCTGCCTCGCCTCCCCTCCCCTCCCTGAGGCTCGCTGGAAGGGCTGACAGCAGAAAAGAGGCCTTGGCCGGAGGCAGGGTGGCTGATCTCAGAGAGCAGTGACACACCCATGTCCTGGGGCTGAGTCTCTTCCTCGACCTCCCACCAGACTCTGCAGGGGCAGCCCACCGCCCGCCGCCAGCCCAAAGAACCTGCAGGAACCTTCTGCCCGCTGACTTGCTTGCTCCAGGGTGACTGGACCCTGCTCCTTGCCCTGCGCACAGTTCCCTGTGTCTGGACGTCTGGCCCCAGCCCCAGCTCCCGTGGGCTGCCCCGGTGGGGTAGCTTACCAACAGACACCCACCCCAGATGCATGGGCCAGGGCGCCGGCCCCGCCGTAGACGTGCACATCGGTTTTCCAGTGTGAACAAAAGCGTATGACCTATGAACTGTTGGCTCCGTGTAAGTAGTTGACTAAGTGTTCTAGAACTGTGCTGAAGACATCTGTAAGATTATTTTGTGGGGGACAAAAGTAGTTTCCTTTAAGGTAAAAAGGATTTTATATGACCCTTAGCACATGTTTTTTTAAGTTTTCTCTTAAGGGAGACATGCACAAAAGCAGCTGCCAAACCATTTCATTGCGCGCACAGCCACAGCCGGACAGTGTGTGGCCACCTCGGAGGACTGCTCTTTTCATTAAACCGTCTATCCATCTATTTAAGATTGCCCATGGCATCATCTGTCTATTGACGAAGAAGCCTTGAGAACAAAGCTGCAGCTTACCCTAACATGTGCGTGGTCTCGGGGTTTGGTTTGGGTTTTGGTTCTTGACGTTGTTTGCGGCTGTTTCCTGGCCCCGGCAAGTGTCTGTCTCAGTGCCCAGTGCTTCTCTCCGATCTCTTTATAATAAAACTGCTGAAAAGTTGAAAACAAGGCTGTGTCTTCTTGGACTTGGCAAGCTAGGGTCGGGCCCCCTGAACTGGCACTTGGTAGTGGCACAGCCAGGACACAGCCTCTCACAGGAGACAGGCTCGGGTGAAAGTCCTGCCTGCCACTTAGCAGTCCGTGTGGGTCTATGTGTGGGTGACGGGGCCACTCTGACCTCAGGCTTGCTGTCTAAAGGATTCGTAGTAGTGCAGACCCAAGGGTTTCTTGTGATGGTAAAAAAGAGAGTGCCCCCACATGGGAGGGTACATTAGCAGTGATGACATGAGCCCTGATCACTGTCCCCTTGGAGGTGAGGCTTCCCAGGGGGGTGGAGGTGAGGGAGCCCAGGGAAGGGACTAGGGACTTCTTCAAACCAGAGTGTAGGAAGCATCCCAGACAGAGGACTCTTTAAACCAGTTTTCCCAGCAGATGTTAGCTGGTAGTACTTGGGAAAAAATAGTAATAATAATAATAATGTGCCGACTTTACATCTGGAAAAAGAACACTTGCTTGGTGGAAAGCAGTTGGTGTGGGCGGGAGCACGGCTGTCACAGCCTGTGAGGTGGGAGCAGGTGTCTGCTCCCAACCAGGCCCGGGACCTAGAGAGAGGGGCCCCCAATCTGTGGGGCCCTCTGGGCCACTCATTCCCCAACCATGGCGACCCCGTTCTTCGAGATGACAGCCTGGAGGGGCGTGCAGTTTCTCCATGAGTAGTTTCCTCCCTGGAGGGCATTTTGTAATCCACTTCAGAAAAATAAAAAAGAAAACCCCAAACAAACAAAAACAACCTGTCACACGTCAGGAGCAGCAGCACAATGTGGAGTGTCAATATTTCATGTGAATACTATTTCCTTTCCTGTGTGGACTTGTCAGGAACACAGTGATGACTGAGACAGTTTAATATTCGACTCCGGCTTTCACATTTAAGAAAACAGCATCCTTGGGATCCCCGCAGACAGCCCTCAACGACAAGAGTTTGGGGCCATCCAACAACCTCTGGGGCTGCCAGGAGCCCACGAGTCATCTGGAAGTGTCCACCCGCTGAGGCTGGCCTCTTGGCCACGTGGGACACTCAGAGGCCCCCAGCAGGGTCCAAGTACCTTGTCTTCAGAAGCAGGGACTGTCATGTGGGTGTGTTCTGAGGCCCCAGAGAGTGGGAACAGAGCCAGTGGGTCCATGGACCCAGCCAAAAGCCTGATTTCAAGGCCTTGGAGTGGACACTGACTGTTTTAGTTTGTTTGGGCTGCCATAACAATGCCCCGACAGAGGGGTGTTGCTCACGGTTCTGGAGGCTGAGAAGTCTGAGATCAGATGCCAGCAGATTCGCTGTCTGGTGAGGGCCAGCCTCCTGGTTCATGGACATCCATCTTCTCGCCGTGTCCTCATGAGGCGGGTTGAGGCGCTCTTCAGAGTCTCTTTCATAAGGGCCTTCATCCCAATCACGAGTGTGGAGCCTTTCAAAGGCCCCACCTCCAAGTACCATCCCTTTGGGGTTTAGGATTTCAACATAGGAATTTTGGAGGACACAAGCATTCAGTCTACAGACCGACTGCAACCCATGTTGCTGATGTCACACCCGGGTCTCCTCTATAGTCAGCTCCTGGCTGCTCACAGCTCACAGCTGGCCTCCCTCCCAGTCATGCTGTTGATTGGGAGGTTGTGCCTCATCCTCCAGAGCTGCCCACAGCCAATGCCAAATCCTGGAGACACAGCTCTGTGGTCCCTTTGTGCTCTGAGTGCCTTGGGATCAGGCTGAAATGACTCTGGCAGCCACAGCACCCTCACTTGATCCCTGCCTGACTCCGAGGGCACCCACTTAGTCTCCCCTCTGAGGGCGTTCATTCCATAATCACTGAAACCTGAATCTGCATCTCAGGCTCTGTATGTTTCTTTTTTTTT